GGGTCATGATTTCAACAAACTTGAATCTACACTACCTGAGGATGATTCCACATGAGTTTCATCTTTCCTGGCCCAGTGGTTCTTGAGTTTAAAGATTTTTTTCTAGATATTCCTATGTAAAACTTTAGTTTTTGGCCCCATAGTTGATTTTAAAAATTTGAATCATGTCACACCTTTCATCTAAAGTGTGAAAGAAAATTTTTAAAGATTTTTTTCTAGAATTATAAGATATTCTTACTAACTCTCAATTTTATTTGCTTAACAATAATTATCCACAAGTCATTCAAGTGGTTCTTGAGAAGAAGATTTTTAAAGATTTTTCCTATATATTCCTATGTAAAATTTTGCTATTTTGGCAACAACGCCGGATGATTTGAACAAACTTGAATCTACACTACCTATGCTTCCACATGAGTTTCACCCGACGTTCCTACCCCAGTGGTTCTTGACAAGAATTTTACCCCTATTTTTCCTATATATTCCTATGTAAAACTTTGATTCCCCATTGTGGCCCCACCCTAACCCCGGGGGTCATGATTTGAACAAACTTGAATCTACACTACCTGAGGATGCTTTCACATGAGTTTCATCTTTCCTGGCCCAGTGGTTCTGGAGAAGAAGATTTTTTAAAGATGCCATTAATTTTTCATTAATTCATAATTATCTCCCCTTGGAAGAAGGCTTGGCCCTTCATTTGAACAAACTTGAATTCCCTTCACCCAAGGATACTTTGTGGCAAGTTTGGTTGAAATTGGTCCAGCGGTTCTTGAGAAGAAGTCGAAAATGTGAAAAGTTTACAGACAGACGGACGGACAGACGGACTACAGACAAAATGTGATCAGAAAAGCTCGCTTGAGCTTTCAGCTCAGGTGAGCTAAAAAATTAAATCTTCATGAGACAAAAAAAAAAAGATCAGGAAAATAAGTATGAAAAAATTCGTTCTTTCTGTATTTTTTTTTTTTTTTTGTCAATTGTATAATACATGTATGTTATTAAACTATGGAAAAAAAGATATTTCAAACAATAACATGATACGAAAGGGCTAGTCTTGTTTTACACGTGTTGAAGCACATGAGTATTGTATTTGATGGATATAGTTGATAAAATTTCAAGTCACACTTTGATTAAAGTGTGAAGGGAATGGAGAATATTTGAATTAAGATATTCTTACTAACTCTCAGTTTTATTATACCCCCCGCTTGAAAAGTGGGAGGGTATACTGTAATCGGTATGTCCGTTCGTCCGTCTCTCTGTTACGCTTTGGGGTACCCATCTCTTATCCGCAACTTCTCGCATACCAATGAAATTTAATGAAACTTTCACAGAATGTTTATTACATATTGCCATTGTGCACCTCCTATTTTACTTTTTGATCCGACACATATTTTGGGTTTTCCGGCCACAGCAAACATGGACTTTGCCATTACAACCACATGGGAGGCGGGGGGGGGGGGGTATCATTTATTGAGCTCATTGCTCACAGTTTCTCTACTTCACTTAACAATCATTATCATTAACAAGTCATTCAACTAAGTATGGAGAAGATCGCTATCAACAACGCCGGATGTGAACGGTTAACAGTGTATGCTTACTCCACAGGCACTCGACGTTACTTATTATACCCCCCGCTTGAAAAGTGGGAGGGTATATATTTTTCCAGAATACATCCGTCCGTCTGTTACGCTTTGGGGGTACCCATCTCTTATCCGCAACTCCTCTCAAACCACTGAAGGAAATTTATTAAACTTTTACAGAAACTTTAATACATATTGCCATTGTGCATCTCCTATTTTACTTTTTGATCTGACATATATTTTGGAGTTTCCAGGATAAAACATGAATACTGCCATGATAATTATATGGGAGGCTGGGGAAATAAGTGAGCTCATTGCTCACATTGAAGTTTTTTTTTAAAAACTGTAAAAATATAACTTACCTAGGAAATGGGTATATATTTTTTTATTAAAACAAAGCACAATTACTTTCACCTCTTTGGCTCCTGATACCAACTCTTGAAATTTCAAGGCGTCCGCGTTTTAGGTTTTCTTCACATATTTCTATTGCTTATGGATTGCGGTGGGTGGGTGGTGGGGGGGGATGTATCGATCATTGTTTGGTATCTTCACCTTTTACAAACTACTACACTACATGAGTATTTGCAATCTGTTAGAGATACCTTCATTCAACACAGTATCTTATGATCAGTTTCCATTCTCTTTCCCTCCCACCTCCATCCAGAACATAACCAAAATGTAGCTTGCATTATTCAATGTACACGCTGTGTTTACAGATAAGATCTGTTATTACCTTTTCCACACAGGCACCTGACGTTAATTATTTTTCTTTTAATGAAAAAAATATACCACTAACTAATAATTATTAGGCAGGGGTGTACTTTTTATTAAAAGAAAAATTACCAATAAATTATATTAATTTCTATCACTCTGTTGCATATGTTTACTGTTTGAAACAGTCCCCTGTTGTTAACAGCATCTTATTTCTCAAGGGATATCCTGACGAAACAAGGCATCCTATCAATTCGCGAATCAAAAAGAACGACACCCACACGACAATTAAATAGTCCGTTAAATAGTCTGATAAATAAGAGTATGTAGCACATTTATATAAATATTGTATTAAAAGGCTTAGTCTGCCCGGTATTTCTAAAATCTACAGTATATAATATTGTAGAAAGCACCAAATTTGGTCTTGCATTTAATTAAGAATTTTAGGTATTATTAGGCTTAATCACATGCGTCTTTTGTTATTTACTGAAAAAGATGTATTTCGTAATCCTAATTGCTTCCTTAATTTAATCAATATTTTATTATGTAAAGTCAGGTTACATAATTGGATTTGACATCAGGTATGGCCTATATAAGTTCTCTCCAAAGTCAAGGTTTCAAATGTTAAAGAATTGACAGTGGATTATTATGATGAAAAAAATCCTAAGTTATATTAATTACTTTTGTTTACAAGAAATGAGAAAAAAGTAAATTAGTTAAATTATATATAGAATAGTTATTACTAAGTATGTATACAAACTATACAATACAATGACAAGGAAAAAGACTGCAAATTAAGCACATAGGCAAGGTACCTTACCTACTGATAATTTTTCAAGATATTCTTAATTTAAACTTACAATACCATTACATGCTCTTAGACAAAAAAAAATCAGCATGCGTTACCAGGGGTTTTGCAAAGATTTCAAATTTTGAAAAAATTTTCATTAATCAAGGAAAAATGAACAAAAAATACAAAAAATAAATTCCAGATTTTTTTCATCAAAAACTGTTTTAGAAGAGGTGTACAAATCCATATATAAACATAAAAATATTGCACACAGGTCCTTCATTTAGTGGAACTCTTCAACTCCAGGGAAAACCCAATAAAGTTCGAACTACGTTGCGTATGACCTTAACAACAAAACAAATGAGTAAATATAGATAAAGTGCAAAAAACAAATACGCAAGGAAAAATACAAAAACGAAGAAAATAGTAACATTAAAAGATAAATAAATTTGGAGCAATCGACAACATTAAATGATAATAATAAAAAAAGAAAATGCGAAGAAAATGCAAAGAAAAATACAACATATACATGGAAATCTGAACTGCTTGGGAAGGGGAAAAACGAGACCTTGTCACCTTTCTGACTAATTACTTTACAGAGTTTCTCGTCTATCTCGGAATTAAAATCAATTTTGCTCGGGAATGGAAAAAAGAAATAATGACCCAGAAAGAGCGTGCTATCCGGGAAGAATTCTTCATAAATCACCATCAATTCATTTGCAGATGCTTTCCCATTATTAACGACTTTGCCTCGGGGACGGATTCCAACAGTCTCAGCAACAGTTTGTGGACGTCTTCCCACGTGACTAATGGCGTTCAATGCTCGACGGCGTAAAACCATTAGCCAAATGATGAAGACAGTACACGTGAAGCAGGCGTCTCTTCTAAAATCACATTGCCAAATAAATCGACGAGTCTGACGAATCACGCAATGAGTCAAGTGTATATATGAACTATTTGGTAGGCACGGTTCGGTTCATTGGTTCATACATATAAACTGGTAAATGCACATTCATGGATTTTATTATAGATATTCAATTACCAGTTATGTGGGAGGCAATTTTTTAGTGTGTAAAACACAGTTCAGAAAGATTTGTCTAATTTATTTTTAATATCTTGCTGCTAAGATTTGAAGCAGTTTGCCTCACAAATGTGCTGTGTTTGGATACTAGAAATAAAACATAATATTATTTCAAAATGAAATAGAAATGCTGATTGTAATTGTTTGAATTACACTTATTGTACATTTATATTTTAATGATAGGTCATTCTTTTCTTTTTTTTTTACTTTTCTTCACATAATGGTGAATTAGTTGAGATACTCACGTTCTGTGCCACATTTAAAAAAAACCCTAAAAAATCATATACATTTGCTCGGATTATTAAAAATATATATATGCATTCATATGCATTACTGCATTGGAAAACAAATTCCTGCTATTCGTTCAGAAATAGTTAAAATTGTGTTTAAATCTCTTTTTTAAACTTATCTCTGTTATTTCATCTTTATTAGCTTTGTTTATATTTAAAACTTGAAAATATTTACTTGTATGTCATACCTTTAAATAAGACAATGTTCTTTTAGTAAAAAAAAAAAAAGAAAGAAAGGTTAATAGATGAAATAAACAAACAAAATTCAATTTTTTTACGGATTCTGGAGTTCTCACAAGGACACGTCTAGTTGGTGCAATTAGTGAGAGAAAAAAATCAATAATTCTCCAGTCGCTGTACTCATGTATTCAATGTTACCAATTCCGTCCGCATATCGATTATCGGCCTTCTACAGGCAGCCGACATAAAAATACAAGCTTCACTGCGCATGTCTCAATTACAAGGACTGAACTCTCTGAAAGACTATTGATGTTTCCATAGCAATGATGTCATTGGATGTTTTATTATAATATACGTCTCCCATTTTGCCGGGATGGCCAATCAATATTCCGTAAAACTGTAGACAAGAATTTTCTTGGAATTATCCTTCTATGTATATACTGTTGACGTTTTGTGACTAATTCATATGGATCATGGATACAAACGCTTGTGAATAAGAAGTGTAAGAAGTGTTTCTTCTGGGAGTGGATTTTTTTGTATTTGTGTCCACTTTTTTCAGTTCTATTTGGAGATTTTCAGGGAATTATAGCTGACAATATGGGCACCGTCATGTCTTTTACACCTCGACCGCGGAAGCCGAATTATGAAGATCTTCACTTGCAGAATTTTGGATACGAGATGTTAAACAATGCTAAAAACTCGCAATCATCCCAGTCCAAAGACAAAATATATAAGAAACATACGGTGTTTTTGAGTGGACTAAGTTGGAAAAAATTGACCGTGAATGGCGGTAAGAAAAAAGACAAGAATTTTCTACTTCGTTCCAATGCTTCCATTGTTCCCGGAAAACTAGACAATAATTCTAATATAGACAATATAAACAGAAATATACCCAAATCTCTGTCGTTATACAACATCAAACCGGGCTCAGACGAAAACGTCCCTCCTTCCAGATCCACCGAGAAATCGGAGATCATCACCACAAGTCCCGCCAAACGCACAATTATCCAAGCCTCCACTTCGGAACTCCTCAAGTGTCTAGGAGAGTACTTATGTAGAAAGTGCAGAAAGCTCAAGACTTTTGAAGGCTGCGACCTAATAATGTGGTTGCGCACGGTGGATCGCTCCTTGCTACTGCAGGGTTGGCAAGATGTCGGATTCATCAACCCAGCAAACGTGGTATTTGTGTTCATGTTGGTTCGCGATCACTCGCATTCTGATATTGTCACTGAACAAGACTTACAAGCGACGGTGCTGACGTGTTTGTATCTGTCCTACAGCTACATGGGCAACGAGATCAGTTATCCCCTAAAACCCTTCTTAGTGGAAAACGACAAGGAGGCGTTCTGGGACCGATGTCTTTCCATTGTCAATAAACAAAGTAGCAACATGCTACGGATTAACAGTGATCCGGGCTATTTCACAGAGATTTTTGCTGAGTTGAAGTCTTATTCCCCCTGTATATGAACAATACCCTCACAGAGGTCAAGAAAATGTGGAAAATTTAGACAGCGCAATCTTATATTGGTATATATGTATTTAGCTAGATACGAGCCTTGTGATAGACATCTAGCGTTAATCTGTACAGTATCGATGTAAAACAAATTTTAATTTGAAATATTTGATATTTCATTATTTGCAATAATTTGCATGCGTAGAATTCAACCGCTGCTTTGACAATCCCATTTATTTTTGTCCTGGCATAGATAACTCATCGTGTGTATATGCCATTTATTGTATGACATATCATCTATCGTTACACATGTAACAAACCAGGTAGATTAATCAATATTAAAGTTTGCGAAAGTGCAAGGATTTTATCCTATTCAAAAGCTGGTAGCAAGGAATGTTGGTTCAAATTTGGCACAAATACCAATTCTAAAGAAAAAATAATCAATTTCCTCCAAAATATGCTCATTCTTTATTAAATTCGGAAAAAAATATATCCCGAGGAAAAAGTCGATATATTATATCCCTTCTTCCTACGTATTGGTACAATGTAATGAATGTATATTCGTCACTGTATGAGAATGTATGAATCGATAAATGTTTCTTGGCATCGGCGAAGCCAGAGAATTTGTTCCTTTTATACATATACCTTCACAATGGCTTCCCCTACGTATTATTTAGCTTATTAAGCTGTACCATGTTTGTGATATTCAAAAAGTGTATATTTCGTTAGTATGAAAAAGTACTGTTTTGGGGTTCTTGTTTAAATGGACTGGATTCTAAATTGTGTTATTGAAGTCAAAGGATAAGATATCTTTGTACTTTGTTTTTTTATTATTACTATTGATTACTCACCGAGCTGAAGTGGCTAATTTACAAGTCAAATGGAAGAAAATTCAAATAATTGATAAACAGTAGCTAAAGACGAGAAATATACATTTGAATTGAATCCAGAGAAATTTAATTATTTTAATTCAATTTCACCAAAATAGTCACACTTGTTTCATTGTCTGTAGATGAAAATGTTCGATAATTTCGAAGTCCAACCAATTTAGCAGAAGATCAACTTAAATTGATTCAATCAGTGCTTTAAATATTGTATTGATAAAAAAAATTACCAATGTCATTTATTTATTTATTTATTTATTCATTTTGAATTTTATTGATAAAAAATTCCTGCATCATTAATCCCTTATTCATACTGCAAGAGCACAAACTTTGTTTTCAATTCTGGAATCAAGAAATATTGATTATTTAGTACATCATGCGTACTAGTGCTATATGTTATGTGAAATCCAATTCATATAAATGATATAAATACTTAGAAAGGATAGATAATTCTTCATAATTTCCATACAATTTACAGACGTAAATAACAAATTGACTTTATCAATTTATGGAAGCAAAGGCATATTTTAAAGGTACTTCCCTTAAATTTCATATTTTGGGTACATACAATTATGTTATTTGCCATATTTGATTTTACATATTGTTAAATACTGTATAGATCACAGGATTGCTATGTCATCCTTCTTCCTATAATTAAGTTATTGATTTATTTTTTATCATTCTGTAATATGTCGTTATGTGTTAAAAGTTTTGCAATAAACGATTTTAAAACTTAGATTTGTATATTTATTTTATATACTAGTATATTTATATACTTAACACTACAGAAGTATGATATTTTGATTATTAGATTTTAAGAGAATAAACTCTTCTTTTTTTTTTTAAATCGATACTTAAGAGCGCCTTGCACTTGAAGTGAAAGTCACAAGCCTTTCAAATGAGACCTGTGATCATAAAATGTCGTCTTTTAATGAACATTATTTGGCAAATTAAAGATGAATCAAGCTAAAAATGTCAACAAATCTTTAACTTTTGTGTTTTAAAATTTTTTAAAGCACATACTTTATATAGAATATTAATTTTAATCGCATCAGCCCATTTTTTTTTTCTTGATAACCCCTCGTATTTACTTGAAATGGAGAGTTTTATCAATGGAAATTAAAACACTGGAGTTTATTTTCAAAAATGTCAAATTATAAAAAAAATCATATATTTGGGGGAAAAAGCAACTGAAAGAAAATGGGTGGAAAAGGATGTAATTTTTTCTGTATGTTAAGAGATAATATAAGCGATTTTACAAATCTTTAATACATTTAATTTCTCTCAAGCTCAGAATTATGAGTCATGTTCAATCGGGAAATGCTTTAAGAGATTTTATATTTTTATATTTGTTTCTGATTCGCATTTAGTGTTTAGTGCAGGGAAACGATTCTGTTCTGAGATAGGATTTTTAATTGGTTTTTAGGTCAGTATTGTATAGATTAATACAACTGCTAAAGGATCCTTTCTTTAAAAAAAATATGGTTTCTGAAAAGTATGGAAAAGATGGCCGAAAGACAGGTGTTTGTAACTTTGTTACCCGGGTTCACGTTCCAATAAACTAAATAGTACATGTATACAGATCCATCTTGTGGTCACTACTGGTATGTTACAACGCGAACTATCTAATTAAAATTAGATGTTAGATCCACTTGTATACTCGCTACAACATCCCATAGAGGGTCACGTCAGAGGTCAAACTCTATCAACCAATCAAATTGTCGCCTGCAAAATCATCGTTTATTGTTGAAGCAAATAAGTCTAGTGTAGTTCCGAGAGATGACCTCTGACGTGAATCTCTATAGGATGTTGTTAGATGTTAGTGTAGCGAGTATGCGAGCGGATCTAACATCTAATTTTAAATAGATTGCAATGTGAAGTGTAATAACAATAACGCAAATTATAATTATCCCGGTTTATTACATTTAACGCTGTTATTAAATTTCGCGTTGTAACACTGGTATACTGTATTAGAAAATCGAAAATCAGAAAAATAGATTTTTTCAGATATAATTTGCATAGCATTTATCAATCATACAAGTTGAATGAAAGTGTAATGTGCTTCAAACACACATATTTCAATAATTATAGTTATCTTGCAAAGCTTTCCGCATCTGAGACATATTTAATATTTCTCCATAGGTCTAATCTTCATTCGCCTCTCAAAAATCAATATCTCTTAAATACACAGTAATTAATTAGAATTTTTATCACGTCTTTAACACAAATATTACAACATGCAAACATGAAAAAAATCTACAGTCGATATTTAATTTTTAATTAATTCTAAAACTTTATCTTGAATCCAAGTTTGCTCTTTTCTAAAACTTAAAATTGTATATGCATGCTGTCTTTTTTAAATACCCTGAGAAAGTCAATATTCTATTAGTCTGATCTTCCATGTGGCGCAGTAGTTTGTGCGTCTGCTCTAAAGTCGCAAAGTAAGGAATTGATCCTTACGTCGCGTGTTCGAATCCCATTGCGCGATTAGGAGACCGGTCCTACATGTACGAATGAGACCGTATAAACCGAGGTCCCAGGTCGCAGTAGGTGTTGGCACGAAAAAGATCCCTTCCTGCTCAATGGCCGTAAGTGCCGAGTATGGGACGAAATTGGCAGCTCTCCACCGGCAAGTGGTGGCGTCTCCATATGAGCGGAAAATTCGAGAAGTGCGTTAAACAACAAACATTCAATCAATCAACTAGTCTGTAGACAAAGGCAATATCAGCTTTTCCAGCACAAATATATACATGGGAACACCTGTCTGTTGTTTTTCTCAAAGTACACGAATCTGTCTCCTAATTAACACTAGACAATGTAAACACTACGGAAAATTAAAACTTGTAGAATCATCCGTCAATTCGCCAAATCTACCCACACGTATACTTACAAGATATTGACTTCGAAAATTCATTGTTTGTTTCTTTGTTTGTATATTGTGTAGCGTCCCTCTCGACACTTCTTCACTAATATGGAGACGCCGGAAAACTCATTGTATAATTCATTTTATAACTGAGCCAAAGTTATATGAAAGATTGTCTTGCGATTTGAAACTTAACTGAAGATGTAATGAACGGCAACAAAAACGTGAATAGAAACTAATAAATAAAGGAAGGACTCCTGCAATTAGTATAACAAGTTCCTTCGGGTGAAACATAATGGAATATGAAGACAACGAACAGCAATCAAGCTCTGAAGTCCACAGAATCATTTCTAATTGGTTGCAGAGCAAACACGGACCTGTTAGAACACATCATCAGAAGTGGAATCAAATGTCGTGGAGAAATTAGCAACCCCTATTAAACGGTCATACACCGGACAAATGAAAAAAGACACAAATTCTTCAGTTTAAAAGTATACTCAAAGGAATTGTATGAAAAAACAGCAGTCAATATTCAACTTTAGAATTTTGCAAGAAGGTGCCTTTAAACATGTTAAACGAGACTGTTGATATTTTTGTTTCATCAACTTATTTTTGGAATTATAGCTTTTTGTAGAAATTTTGTACATAGGGTGTGTTTTGCTTATCAGCTGAGAGACATAAAGTCATGAATTACATAGACTAGTCAATAAGTTTATACTACTCTATAGTCGCGAAGCAAGCAGTTGATCCTCAGCCGCGGGTTCCAATCCCACTGTGGGAAAAGGAGACCGGTCCTTCGGATGAGACAAAATGAACTGAAGTCCCATGTCGCATTAGATATTGACATGAAAAAGATTCCTCAATGCTCAATGGCCGTAGGAGCGGAGTATAGAAAAAAAATTGCATCTCTCCAGCGGCAAGTGGTGGCGTCTCCATATGAGGGATAAATTCTCGAGAGGGACGTAATACAACATAAAAACAAATGAAATAAACAAAAAATATATACTGGTACCGGTCTCAGATGATAAAACAGACAGCTTCTTTTTCTTTATGTGAAAGGCTCATTATTTTGATTGTGTTTAACAGGAACTGGAGGATATTCTTTAAAATAATTTGTACGGAGAGCGGATTGAATTACAACCAGTGCATTTCAATAAAATTATCTTGCAACACTTTCCAAATTACCTGTGATTCGCGTGGCATCACATTGCCTCAAATTTTGATTAAGGTCTTACCGCGATTTGCTTCTCAAATGTCAATATTTCGTAGATTAAAATGTACTTATACTAACCATTTAATCAGACCATACGCTTAGTGATTAGTATACATAATTATGTGGCTTTCTTAAATATAAACTAGAGGTACTGTGACAACTGAGCTCACTATATGATACCCTATGATAACCCGAATGCTTCCCATATGATTATAATACATGTTTTGATCTGGGAAACCTGACATACGTGTCAGATCAAAAAGTAAAATTTATAGGAGGTGCACAATGGCATTGTGTAACAATAAATCTGTGAAAGTATCATTAAATTTTATTCAGTGATGTAGGAGGAGTTCCTGATAAGAGATGGGTACCCTTTAATATTATAGAAAGAATGCAGGTCAATGTTAGGCTATGGTAAGCCCAAAATATGTGTTCTATCAAAAAAAAATATAGGAGGTGTACAATGGCATTATGTAACAAACATTCTGTGAAAGTCTCAGTACATTTCATTCAGTGGTATAGGAGAAGTTGCAGATAAGAGATGGGTACGGACGGACACCCCGATCACTATATACGCTCCCACTTTTCAAGCGAGGGGTATAAATATTTTCTTGATGATTCATTAAAAGTCAAATAAATATTTTCGCATTAGTTAGAATCAAACACATCTCTTAAAAACAATTTAACGTGCTAATTGTTTCCTTTAATAAACAAATACTATACAATATTTTCGAAATTTTCTTTAAAAAAAAAACTAAAACGTTCACAATCTATAGACAACGAAAATGCATTTTTTTTCTTGTATACAAGTATATACAAGGGATAGGTCTTTTTGCCTGCCGTCTCTCTTCTCGAGTACAATAACCTGAAACATATTTTATGTAAGACATTGTAAACACTACGTCAAATACTTATAATTACGTCTGTGGATTTACCAAAATCTTCCCAAAATGCCAATGAGGTATAAGCTATACTTATTGAGCAAGAATACTAATTGTGTAATTAGATGAAAGAAACAAAAAAGAACAACAAATAAATTTGAAAATTATCATGATTATATGGAAGTTAAGATGAAAATTCTAAATTATAAAATGAGATGAAAATTATATGGAAATTTATAAATTCAAGAGTTTCATAAGTCTTTACGTGTGATTTAATTTACACCTGATCACAAAAACATGTGTATTTTGAAAAAAAAAAACACCATCGTATGATTTGATTTTAAAAAATTCAATGGTACGTACAGGTAGCAAGAATGCCCAAAGAGTAAAAAGTCCCTATGACAACAACATTGTACGAATACCTATTTTTTTCTATTGTTCCCGACTATTGTTCAACTAAAACAAAATGATATGAATAAGAATAAAATGTAATATTACTTCAACTGTAAGTTTTTTAAGTCTACAGACCCGATATTTCAAAATTGAAGCGATTTTTTCTCTAAATTTACCTGTTTCCATAGACATAAGTCTTCAATGATTAAAAACTGCTTATGAAATAATTTGAACAAACCTCCAAGGATACTTTCACGAAAGATTCAGTTTTTCTGGCCAAATGGATCTTGAGAAGATTTCTAAAGATGTTTCCTTTGTACATGTATTTTAAAGATGTTTCCTACGGCACATACAGCTCAACGCAGTT